GTATCTCCCACCGCCTCGGTAATTCCGCTGGATCCATGGTAAAGGTGAGGTATTCTGTAATGAATACTCGGACAGAGTGGTAAGATCCAATCGCAGAATAGCGATGCTTTATTAGAGGACAGACAAGGGAATAGCTTAATCGTGGTCGGGCGGGCTGTGGTCAAAACCGGGCCAGGCATAGACAGGCAGAGGTACCAAGGGAGCGGGCTTAGTCGTAGTCGAGGGCACAGGCACAGGATCAGAGAACGGTAATCACTGGGGTAGACAAGCAGAGGATTAAGCAATACGGGGAGTCAAACAACAAGGCACAGGTCGGATACACGGGTAATCAAAAACAATAAACTCTCTCTCGGAACAAAACGCTTAGCAAGTCACAATGGAACAATACCTCGCACCGACTGAACTTCTGAGCACACCTTAAATCCTACACTAATTACTGACAGGTGTGCTCAGAACTCAGGTGAACCAGATCGAGTCTGATGACTCCCCCTCTCTGTAGATCGGGGAAGTGTCAGACTCTGTCTAGACCCAGCCAACCCCCGATCCCTTACAGTTCTAATCTTTTTGGCCATTTGCTGTTTTTTTTTGTGGTGGAAAACTGAGCGGGTTTAGCATAACACATCAATTCTGTTACCCATAGATAGACAGGCTAGAAATGTTTTAACAATTATACTTTTTTTTGTTACGCTTGCAGTCAATTGCCACTCCCTGTTGCACACAACAAGCTTCCATTCCCCCTGTCACAATAGGATTTATGCCTGATTTAAGATGAAATCGTCAACCCTGTTACTTTATTTGGCACTTAATAGGCACTTAATATAGTATTTTTTTTATTTAACCTCTTGAGATGGGAACATGTGTTTTTATTAAGTTGAACATGTGCTCTTTATGACAGCACATGATCAAAATGTGTTAGTATAATAATAGAGACATCTATAGTAAGAATGTAACATTTTATTTAGCTTTTAGCATAATATTACCATAAAGTTATTTGTTTATGGTTAATATTGAGCTATATAAATAATTCAACTCTGAATACAATTCACCTTAATGATTGTATATTGAAATCAATAATCTATGTACATTTTGTTCATTCTTTGAAGTAGTTTTTGGAGTGGACTTTGTCTGTCTGACTGTCTAAAACGTAAAGTCTTCTAACTGCTTGTCTTTTCTCAGAGATGACAGCCATTTAAGAACCACAGAGGAGTGTAGCCTTGGCTTCTCAAATGACTGCCTCGCCTGGTTCACCAACTACTTCTCATATAGAGTTCAATGTGTCAAATCGGATGGCCTGTTGTCTGGACCTATGGCAGTCTCTATGGGGGTGCCACAGGGTTCAATTCTTGGGCAAACTCTTTTCTCCGTGTATATCAATGATGTCGCTCTTGCTGCTGGTGACTCTCAGATCCACCTCTACGCAGAAGACACCATTTTGTATACAGTGAGGGAAAAAAGTATTTGATCCCCTGCTGATTTTGTACATTTGCCCACTGACAAAGACATGATCAGTCTATAATTTTAATGGTAGGTTTATTTGAACAGTGAGAGACAGAATAACAACAACAAAAAATCCAGAAAAACTCATGTCACAAATGTTATAAATTGATTTGCATTTTAATGATGGAAATAAGTATTTGACCCCTCTGCAAAACATGACTTAGTACTTGGTGGCAAACTCCTTGTTGGCAATCACAGAGGTCAGACGTTTCTTGTAGTTGTCCACCAGGTTTGCACACATCTCAGGAGGGATTTTGTTCCACTCCTCTTTGAAGATCTTCTCCAAGTCGTTAAGGTTTCGAGGCTGACGTTTGGCAACTCAAACCTTCAGCTCCCTCCGCAGATTTTCCATGGGATTAAGGTCTGGAGACTGGCTAGGCCACTCCAGGACCTTAATGTGCTTCTTCTTGAGCCACACCTTTGTTGCCTTGGCCGTGGGTTTTGGGTCATTGTCATACTGGAATACCCATCCACAACCCATTTTCAATGCCCTGGCTGAGGGAAGGAGGCCCTCACCCAAAATTGACGGTACATGGCCCCGTCCATCGTCCCTATGATGCGGTGAAGTTGTCCTGTCCCCTTAGCAGAAAAACACCCCCAAGGCATAATGTTTCCACCTCCATGTTTGACGGTGGGGATGGTGTTCTTGGGGTCATAGGCAGTATTCCTCCTCCTCCAAACAAAGCGAGTTGAGTTGATGCCAAAGACCTCGATTTTGGTCTCATCTGACCACAACACTTTCACCCAGTTCTCCTCTGAATCATTCAGATGTTCATTGGCAAACTTCAGACGGCCCTGTATATGTGCTTTCTTGAGCAGGGGGACCTTGCGGGCACTGCAGGATTTCAGTCCTTCACGGCGTAGTGTGTTACCAATTGTTTTCTTGGTGACTATGGTCCCAGCTGCATTGAGATCATTGACAAGATCCTCCCGTGTAGTTCTGGGCTGATTCCTCACCGTTCTCATGATCATTGCAACTCCACGAGGTGAGATCTTGTATGGAGCCCCAGGCCGAGGGAGATTGACAGTTATTTTGTGTTTCTTCCATTTGCGAATAATCGCACCAACTGTTGTCACCTTCTCACCAAGCTGCTTGGCGATGGTCTTGTAGCCCATTCCAATCTTGTGTAGGTCTACAATCTTGTCCCTGACATCCTTGGAGAGCTCTTTCGTCTTGGCCATGGTGGAGAGTTTGGAATCTGATTGATTGATTGCTTCTGTGGACAGGTGTCTTTTATACAGGTAACAAGCTGAGATTAGGAGCACTCCCTTTAAGAGTGTGCTCCTAATCTCAGTTCGTTACCTGTATAAAAGACACCTGGGAGCCAGAAATCTTTCTGATTGAGAGGGGGTCAAATACTTATTTCCCTCATTAAAATGCAAATCAATTTATAACATTTCTGACATGCGTTTTTCTGGATTTTTTTGTTGTTATTCTGTCTCTCACTGTTCAAATAAACCTACCATTAAAATTATAGACTGATCATTTCTTTGTCAGTGGGCAAACGTACAAAATCAGCAGGGGATCAAATACTTTTTTCCCTCACTGTACATCTGGCCCTTCATTGGACACTGTGTTAACAAACCTCCAAACGAGCTTCAATGCCATACAACACTCCTTCAGTAGCCTCCAACTGCTCTTAAACACTAGTAAAACTAAATGCATGCTCTTCAATCGAACGCTGCTGGCACCCGCCCACCCGACTAGAATCACTACTCTCGACGGGTCTGACCTAGAGTATGTGGACAACTACAAATACCTAGGTGTCTGGTTAGACTGTAAACTCTCCTTCCAGACTCACATTAAGCATCTCCAATCCAAAGTTAAATCTAGAATCGGCTTCCTATTTCGCAACAAAGCCTCCTTCACTCATGCTGCCAAACATGCCCTCATAAAACTGACTATCCTACCGATCCTTGACTTCGGCGATGTCATTTACAAAATAGCCTCCAACACTCTGCTCAGCAAACTGGATGTAGTCTATCACAGTGCCATCCGTTTTGTCACCAAAGCCCCATATACCACCCACCACTGTGACCTGTACGCTCTTGTTGGCTGGTCCTCACTACATATTCGTCGCCAAACCCACTGGCTCCAGGCCATCTATAAATCACTGCTAGGCAAATCCCCGCCTTATCTTAGCTCATTGGTCACCATAGCAACACTCACCCGTAGTATGCGCTCCAGCAGGTATATCTCACTGGTCATCCCCAAAGCCAACACCTCCTTTGGCCACCATTCCTTCCAGTTCTCTGCTGCCAATGACTGGAACGAATTGCAAAAATCTCTGAAGCTGGAGACTCTTATCTCCCTCACTAACTTTAAGCATCATGTCACGGTTTCGGCCGAGGCTGCTCCTCCTCCTTGTTCGGGCAGGCTTCGGCGGTCGTCGTCCCCGGAGTACTAGCTATCACCGTTTGATGTTTTCGATGTCTGTTGGTTTTGTCTGATTGTGTACACCTGTTTCCTGTTTGGTTGATTATGTCTCCTATAAGTTTCTCGTTTGGTTAGTCTTGTGTTGTGTGTTATTGTTCGCCTGTCATCAGGTCGGCTCGTTGTTTGTTTGTTGTTTTCCCTGTCGTCGCACTGCACTGTTTTCGTGCGCCTTGGTATACTAGCCTTTTGCGCATTGTTGCACATCGTCCGCCTCTTGTTTGTTTTGAGGCCAGTGTTTTGTATATTTTTGGTCGTGTTCAGTAAAGTATTGGACTTAGCTTCTGTGTCTGCGTTTGACTCCTTCACCACATCTACATCAGCCGTTGTGACACATCAGTTGTCAGAGCACCTTACCGATCACTGCACCTGTACACAGCCCATCTGAAATTAGCCCACCCAACTAACTCATCCCCATATTTTTATTTATTTTGCTCTTTTGCACCCCAGTATCTCTATTTGCACATCGTCTCTTGCACATCTATCATTCCAGTGTTAATACTAATTGTAATTATTTTGCACTATGGCCTATGTATTGCCTTACCTCCATAACTTGCTACATTTGCACACACTGTATATATATTTTCTGTTGTATTTTTGACTTTATGTTTTGTTTTACCCCATATGTAACTCTGTTTTGTTGTTTTTATCGCACTGCTTTGCTTTATCTTGGCCAGGTCGCAGTTGTAAATGAGAACTTGTTCTCAACTGGTTTACCTGGGTAAATAGAGGTGAAAAAAAAAGTAGCTGACAGGAGTAACAGAGGTCAAATCACTGTCAAGAGCACAGAAGTGGTTATTATCCCATCCCTAAATCATTCCCAAATCCCTGTTAGGTTTCATCTTCTTCTTCTTGGAAGAATATGTGCAATGAACTGACACTAACATTGTCAAGGTTATCTTCCTGCACCTGCTAATTGGGATCCAGATGAACCAATCTTCTTCTTCTTCTTCTTCTTCTTCTTCTTCTTCTTCTTCTTCTTCTTCTTCTTCTTCTTCTTCTTCTTCTTCTTCTTCTTCTTCTTCTTCTTCTTCTTCTTAAGGTGGAGGAGAACGGGGTCTTGGAGGACATGGAAGAGGACATCAGCCTAAAGAAACGGAAAGGTGATCCCCACGGCGACAAAGACTCAGAGCCCCGAGACTCTGGCCAGGAAGCTGAAGGTGAAAAGGTCAAGAAGCGCCGGGGACGACCTCCAGTGGAGAAACTGCCCCCCAACCCCCCCGAGCTCACCAAGCAGCTGAACACACTGGTGGATATGGTCATCAACTACAAAGATGGGTGAGATTAGCAGGGAGAATTGGGGATGAGCACTGTGTTAATTATGTCATTATGATGCAATTATGTCCACACTTATTAATTAACTAATAATTAGCAATGTGTGGATAAGAAGGGCAGTGATGTTTGATGTTATACCATGCAGGGACTGGTTCGACATTAATTACTTATTTTGTTTCCCACCATTTCACAGTGTGAGCAGTGTGTTGCAGAAATGATCAGATAGAGAGGATTTAGATTGTATCAGTCCCATTATGGCATCTGTGAGAGCAGGGGCAGCAGGTAGCCTAGCAGTTAAGCGCTTTGGGCCAGTAACCGAAAGGTCGCTGGTTTGAATCTCTGACATGACTAGGTGAAAGATCTGTCAATGTGCTCTTCAACAAGGCACTTAACCCTAATTGCTCCTCTAAGACCCTCTGCTAAATGACTGAAATATATATATATATATATATATATATATATATATATATATATATATATATATATACGGTACCAGTCAAATGTTTGGACACACCTACTCATTCAAGGGTTTGTCTTAATTTTTTCTAGTTTTTACATTGTAGAATAATAGTGAAGACATCAAAACTATGAAATAACACTTATAGAATCATGTAGTAACCAAAAAAGTGTTAAACAAATCAAAATATATTTTAGATTTTAGATTTTTCAAATAGCCACCCTTTGCCTTGATGACAGCTTTGCACACTCTTGGCATTCTCTCAACCAGCTTCACCTGGAATACTTTTCCAAAAGTCTTGAAGGAGTTCCCACATATGCTCAGCACTTGTTGGCTGCTTTTCCTTCACTCTGCCGTCCGACTCATCCCAAACCATCTCAATTAGGTTGAGGTCGGGGGATTGTGGAGGCCAGGTCATCTGATGCAGCACTCCATCACTCTTCATCTTGGTAAAATAGCCCTTACACAGCCTGGAGGTGTGTTGGGTCATTGTCCTGTTGAAAAACAAATTATAGTCCCACTAAGCCCAAACCAGATGGGATGGCGTATCGCAGCAGAATGCTGTGGTAGCCATGCTGGTTAAGTGTGCCTTGAATTCCAAATGAATTACAGACAGTGTCACCAGCAAAGCACCCCCACACCATAACACCTCCTCCTCCATGCTTTACGGTGGGAAATACACATGCAGAGATCGTCCGTTCACCCGCACCGCGTCTCACAAAAACACAGCGGTTGGAACCAATAATCTCCAATTTGGACTCCAGACCAAAGGACAAACTTCCACCGGTCTAATGTCCATTTCTCGTGTTTCTTGGCCCAAGCAGGTCTCTTCTTATTATTGGTGTCCTTTAGTAGTGGTTTCTTTGCAGCAATTTGACCATGAAGGCTTGATTCACACAGTCCCCTCTGAACAGTTGATGTTGAGATGTGTCTGTTACTTGAACTCTGTTAAGCATTTACTTAGGCTGCAATTTCTGAGGCTGGTAACTCTAATGAACTTATCCTCTGCAGCAGAGGTAACTCTGGGTCTTCCTTTCCTGTGGCGTTCCTCATGAGAGCCAGTTTCATCATAGCACTCTATGGTTTTTGGGACTGCACTTGAAGAAACTTTCAGTTCTTTAAAATGTTCCGTATTGACTTACCGTCAGGTCTTAAAGTAATGATGGACTGTCTTTTCTCTTTGCTTATTTGAGCTGTTCTTGCCATAATATGGACTTGGTCTTTTACCAAATAGGGCTATCTTCTGTATACCTTGTCACAACACAACTGATTGGCTCAAACGCATTAAGAAGGAAAGAAATTCCACAAATTCACTTTTAAGAAGGCACACCTGTTAATTGAAATGCATTCCAGGTGACTATCTCATGAAGCTGGTTGAGAGAATGCCAAGAGTGTGCAAAGCTGTCATCAAGTCAAAGGGTGGCTATTTGAAGAATCTCAAATATAACATATATTTTGATTTGTTTAACACTTTTTTGGTTACTACATGATTCCATATGTGTTATTTCATAGTTTTGTTGTCTTCACTATTATTCTACAATGTAAAAAATAAAGAAAAAAAGAAAAAAATTTGAATGAATAGGTGTGTCCAAACTTTTGACTGGTAGTGTATATATACCTTCTTCTACTACTTCTATGAGTTGGCAAACAAACTGAAAGGGTGTACACTGCCACCTAGAGTGTGTTGTTTGAACAGGTATGACGCCAAGGTTGGCGATTTACTGCCACCTTCATTTATGGAATGTTTCCTCACAAGTATAATTCATTGGCTGAGCCCTCCTGGTGACCTGGATGGAATTATGTGATCCTTCCTTAACCCATAGGAAGTCCCACCCAGTTGACTAATTCAAAATGGTGAAAGTCCTCAATGGTGCTGCCCATGCTAAAACAAGCTTTTGGGCATTAGAGTCCTCTATCTATTTCTATGATTGGACCTGACATCAAATAGAAGGTTTTCTTTCAAATACTTCAGCTGCACTTGATTGGCCTTGCCTGGCACAATGGAACTAAATCTGGCCAATCTTCAACTCCAAGCAGGCTCAAACAAATGCTTAAAGTATTTGAAACAAAACACATACTATTGTCTGGAGAGGTCTGTGTCTTCTTGGTCCGTAACAGAGCCTGTGCTAAATTCTTCCAGGTTGGGCCGTCAGATCAGCAAAGGCTTCATCCAGCTGCCTTCTAGGAAGGAGGTGCCAGAGTACTACGAGTTGATCCGAAAGCCTGTGGACTTCAGGAGGATCAGGGTAGGCTCAGTGGACCCTCTACACCAGGGATTCCCAACCCTTTTCCCACAGGGTCCCCTATTTTACATTTGATACATTTAGACACAAATACATGGCATTTTACATTTTCAAATTGCATTTTATATAACATTTCATAGTTCATAACAGCATCACAATGAATTGCAATACAGTGCACTTGTAGGCCTCCACAAAAACAGTAGGCTATTTTACTGCAAATAGCCTAACTGACTGTTTGTGTAAAACAGGTGGCCATCTTAAAAAGGCTTTTCAATTATATGCAGGGATTTGGGAACACACCATTTTCTGTTCATATTGCATTTTATATAACCTATATCAGCATCACAATAAATTATTATTTATTATTATGCACCTGAATTTATATTTGTACATACATGTATCTATTTAATTATTTATTTATCATACTGTATATTTATTACAAGTGGTCGATTGGTGACAGAGTCACACACAATAATTTATTACCTGCCGTTTCATCTTTAATTGGGGCCCTGGGCCCGTATTTGCAAAGCCAGGGATAGGATGTCAGGTGTGATGCTGGTGACAGCCAGACGAAAGTCATTGTGCACTTTCAACTTTTTGCGTGCTTTTGTTTTGATTGTAACCAGCGCGCTGAATGCAGTCTCTGACAGGTATGAAATGCACCAGCACTTGGCCGTGTGAGAGGTAGAACACCTCTGTGACTGTGTGCAGCGGGAGAGTTTGGTGCGCCTCATCTTCACATAACTCCGCAAAGAGTCATTTGTTCGTTGGGCGAGCTTTTAACCCTGGAGTTGATTGACGCGCGTCACACGTAGGGCTGTTACGGTGACCATATTACCGCCACACAGGCTGTCACGAGTCATGACGGCAGTCAAATTCCACGTGACCATTTAGTTATTTAGGCTTCTCCAAGCTCTGATGCTGCTGATGGTCATTAGTAGCCTACCAAACTTGCTAACTGCCTGGTACTCAGCTCTATATTGTCCCTCTAATCACTCTGACATCAATGCAAATGTATCGAAAATTGAATCAAACACTTAATGAGAGCCCATGAGCTCATGTTGCACAACATTTCTATAGGCTATGCAATTGCGCTTATAATGTGAAGAAATAGTCTAATAGTCGATCAACATTTTAAACTAAACCTTATTATCTGTTGCATCAGGCTCATTGCCTAAAACAGTTTTTTTTATGCTAGTGGTTGTATTAATTTGGGATCTATCATTCCACAAATGTCCCAGACTATGTTTGGAATTTTTATTTCTCACACAGAATAGAATAGGTCAACTTTTGTACAATGGGGAATAGTAGATTGACATAGGCTAGTGCTTTTGTTGTTTGGTAGGCCTACTCATCTGGTTGGCTGTGGACAGTTCTTCCAATATCTTCAATATGCTTCCTCGGAATTGGATAAGGAAGCGTCCCTGTTGTGTTTGTCTTCACTTGTAGCCTGTGAGAAAGACCCGTGAGAGGTGCTTCGGCCCTGCAGTCGGGAGAAGGAAATTATAATTATTATATTCAGCCTAAGGGCACAATGGCCACTGGCCGCAAAAGGCATGGATTTCTTTAGGGAGCATTATGGCCACACAAAGGGGATGCAGCCTGGAAATTCAAGCCATTATCCAATTGCTTGTCAAATTGTGAATGAGAGACTGATGAACTGTGTACAGCCTGCGCAAAAAAACAAACCAGAGCTCATGCCTTTCATGTGACTTTTTTCAAATCCTCATTAGAAGATACAGCCTTAGAATATCTAAAAAATCTAAACATATAGCCCAACATTTGTATCACAATTTGTATCACAACTAAAGTTACATAAATAAAGCGAATGGGGGTAAAAAGTGCAATGAGTAAAGTGACCTAACATGGGTGAAATGTTTTATCTTCTGAGTTTTCTGATATCTTTCAGAGATATAGGACATACACTTCAAAAGCTTATTCCATATTATACATTTTTGGACTGTCTGTTTTGCCATGTACTGTACAAATGTGTTATTCAATGTGTATCTATGGTCTATAGCAGTACATGCCAAACTCAATATTTTATCAAATCATTTTTAAATACATACATGTTTTATACCTACAGGGGTCCTAAAATTCCAACTCAAATAGCTAAATGATCCATTTTATGACCATCTTAAAACAATTCCATATTTTAGCTTAGTAGATAGTGCCAAATATGGGCTTAGACCTACAGGGGTTAACTATTATAACTACAGTCTTCAGTGTTTCGTTGAGCTCCTTGGACAGGTGTTTGCTCGTCAGGACTTGTCTGTGTATCATGCAGTGAAACAATGCACAATTGGGAGCCTTTTCCTTCAAGCAGCTTTTGAGGCCCTTGGTCTTTCCCATTAGTGATGCAGCCCCATCAGTACAGCATGCAACTCAATTCTCATAGGAAAGGTTGTGTTTTGTAAAGTACATAGCCTATCAACTGCACAACAAATATCTTCTCCTCGTGTGGTTGTGGTCAGAGTTACAGAAGTCTGTTTCATCAATGTACTGCACATACACAATGAGCGCAGCCTCGCCTTCCACTACGGTGGTTTCATCCAGTTGGAAAGAAAAGGGGCTCTTTTGTGCGCCCCCCATCCCCCTGAAATTAAGTCAGGCCTCACGCCACAACAGGAAACATTGGCGCCGGGGGCGCACCCCCTAGATTGGGAATCCCTGCTCTACACTGCAATCTATAGACTCAGCACAGCACCAACCCACCCAAATCTTCCCCACACCAATTCAGCGCAGAACCAAATCTCAACACTAACTCACCAAATCTCAACACTGACCCACCAGATCTACCCACAAATCGTCCCACATACCAACTGGCCATAGGCATGTTAACAAAGTCACAGATGCAGTGCTATCCTTTCAGCATATTCCATCATCATCCGAGCCAACTTTTCTATGATGTTGGATTCAGGTAGTAATATGCACTGTATTTATGTGAGCGTACATGTTTTCTGACCATGTGTTGTTTTTTTGTAGGAGCGTGTGCGCAATCACAAGTACAGGAGTGTGGGGGATCTGGAGAAAGACATCATACTGCTGTGTCACAACGCACAGACCTTCAACCTGGAGGGATCTCAGGTGTGGCTGCTGGAATTCATACCACTGCCTCCGGTTCTACATGAAATCCACATACCATGATGCCCCCAGCTCATGACTGTGAGAGGCTAATTTGGTTTATGTTATGTGTGTGTTTGCCATAGATATTTGAGGACTCGATTGTTCTCAAGTCTGTGTTTGAGAGTGCACGACAGAGGATTGTCAGTGATGATGAGGAGAAACAGGACAGCACTGCCATCCGTAATGATGATGGAGGTCGAGACAATCAGTTGGTTTCATGAGCAGGTGAGACCCGGCCGTTGTGATCTCAAAACAAACTCTGTGAAGATTACCTTCTTTTAAAAACAGAATGGGAAAATCAAGATCACGCAGTTCAGTTGACAATGAGAAGCACATTTTCACTTTCACTCACCCGAACGATTGTGAGTTATCAAGCATTATTATTTAGATTTTGAATAGCTTGAAATGATTTATTTTCTCAAAGATCAATGACAGGACAAACTAATATCTGGTTGTCATTATATAGAGTAAATGAAAACTAGTGCCTTCAACTCTCTTTTGTTCCTTTCTTAATCCTCTCTTTTCAGTGAAAACGGCGGCAACGCAGGCGACACAGAGGATGAAGGAGGAGAGGAGCAGAAAGATGAAGGTCAAGAAGACCGTCAACAGTGATGTAGACAGCGATGAGGATCTGGAGGACAATACAGCTAAAGATGAGGGTTGACCTGGAGGACCAACGCTAGTTCAATTACCCTCCTTATCCTCTTTCTTTCTCTCCACTATCACTGTTTTTGCATTGCAGCTTATTAATTTGCTCACCTTGCAAAAAGGTTTGTCTCATCTCAAGTCAAGAAAGCTACTCAAAGGAATGTACGTACTTAATGATGTTGGTCCTCAAGTAATTCATGCAGCCTTAAACGTTCATGTCTTTTTACTATTATTTTGCCTTTACGTTTTTTAAACGTTTTTTAATGATGTTCTTCCCTCGGTCTTCATATGAAAGCTGCTGTGTGTATCCTTAATGCTTTACCAGAGGATATCTCTCCACTCTTTTTCCATGAGTTGTTTTTTTATTTGAAAGTGTTATTACTTTATGTGTGAAATTATGTATTTCTGCTAAGACGGAGACCACCCTCAGAGAGTGGCGCCTGTTGATAACATCCCTATATGTTGTGTATAGGTACAGTGAGGGAAAAAAGTATTTGATCCCCTGCTGATTTTGTATGTTTGCCCACTGACAAATAAATGATACAGTGGGGAAAACAAGTACTTAGTCAGCCACCAATTGTGCAAGTTCTCCCACTTAAAAAGATGAGAGAGGCCTGTAATATTCATCATAGGTACACGTCAACTATGACAGACAAAATGAAAAAAATTAATCCAGAAAATCACATTGTAGGATTTTTTATGAATTTATTTGCAAATTATGGTGGAAAATAAGTATTTGGTCAATAACAAAAGTTTCTCAATACTTTGTTATATACCCTTTGTTGGCAATGACACAGGTCAAACGTTTTCTGTAAGTCTTCACAAGGTTTTCACACACTGTTGCTGGTATTTTGGCCCATTCCTCCATGCAGATCTCCTCTAGAGCAGTGATGTTTTGGGGCTGTCGCTGGGCAACACAGACTTTCAACTCCCTCCAAAGATTTTCTATGGGGTTGAGATCTGGAGACTGGCTAGGCCACTCCAGGACCTTGAAATGCTTCTTACGAAGCCACTCCTTCGTTGCCTGGGCGGTGTATTTGGGATCATTGACATGCTGAAAGACCCAGCCACGTTTCATCTTCAATGCCCTTGCTGATGGAAGGAGGTTTTCACTCAAAATCTCACGATACATGGCCCCATTTATTCTTTCCTTTACATGGATCAGTCGTCCTGGTCCCTTTGCAGAAAAACAGCCCCAAAGCATGATGTTTCCACCCCCATGCTTCACAGTAGGTATGGTGTTCTTTGGATGCAACTCTGCATTCTTTGTCCTCCAAACACGACGAGTTGAGTTTTTACCCAAAAGTTCTATTTTGGTTTCATCTGACCATATGACATTCTCCCAATCCTCTTCTGGATTATCCAAATGCACTCTAGCAAACTTCAGACGGGCCTGGACATGTACTGGCTTAAGCAGGGGGACACGTCTGGCACTGCAGGATTTGAGTCCCTGGCGGCATAGTGTGTTACTTATGGTAGGCTTTGTTACTTTGGTCCCAGCTCTCTGCAGGTCATTCACTAGGTCCCCCCGTGTGGTTCTGGGATTTTTGCTCACCGTTCTTGTGATCATTTTGACCCCACGGGGTGAGATCTTGCGTGGAGCCCCAGATCGAGGGAGATTATCAGTGGTCTTGTATGTCTTCCATTTCCTAATAATTGCTCCCACAGTTGATTTCTTCAAACCAAGCTGCTTACCTATTGCAAATTCAGTCTTCCCAGCCTGGTGCAGGTCTACAATTTTGTTTCTGGTGTCCTTTGACAGCTCTTTGGTCTTGGCCATAGTGGAGTTTGGAGTGTGACTGTTTGAGGTTGTGTACAGGTGTCTTTTATACTGATAACAAATCAAATCAAATTTTATTGGTCACATGCGCAGAATACAACAGGTGCAGACATTACAGTGAAATGCTTACTTACAGCCCTTAACCAACAGTGCATTTATTTTTAACAAAAAAAAAGTAAAAATAAAACAACAACAAAAAAAGTGTTGAGAGAAAAAAGAGCAGAAGTAAAATAAAGTGACAGTAGGGAGGCTATATATACAGGGGGGTACCGTTGCAGAGTCAATGTGCGGGGGCACCGGCTAGTTGAGGTAGTTGAGGTAATATGTACATGTGGGTAGAGTTAAAGTGACTATGCATAAATAATTAACAGAGTAGCAGCAGCGTAAAAAGGATGGGGTGGGGGGGCAGTGCAAATAGTCCGGGTAGCCATGATTAGCTGTTCAGGAGTCTTATGGCTTGGGGGTAGAAGCTGTTGAGAAGTCTTTTGGACCTAGACTTGGCACTCCGGTACCGCTTGCCGTGCGGTAGCAGAGAGAACAGTCTATGACTAGGGTGGCTGGAGTCTTTGACAATTTTGAGGGCCTTCCTCTGACACCGCCTGGTATAGAGGTCCAAGTTCAAACAGGTGCCATTAATACAGGTAACGAGTGGAGGACAGAGGAGCCTCTTAAAGAAGAAGTTACAGGTCTGTGAGAGCCAGAAATCTTGCTTGTTTGTAGGTGACCAAATACTTATTTTCCACCATAATTTGCAAATAAAATCATTAAAAATCCTAAAATGTGATTTTCTGGATTTTTTTTCTTAATTTGTCTGTCATAGTTGACGTGTACCTATGATGAATATTACAGGCCTCTCTCATCTTTTTAAGTGGGAGAACTTGCACAATTGGTGGCTGACTAAATACTTGTTTTCCCCACTCTAAGTCTATAATTTTAATGGTAGGTTTATTTGAACAGTGAGAGACAGAACAACAACAAAAAAATCCAGAAAAACACATGTCAAATATGTTATAAATTGATTTGCATTTTAATGAGGAAAATAAGTATTTGACCCCTCTGCAAAACATTACTTAGTACTTGGTGGCAAAACCCTTGTTGGCAATCACCGAGGTCAGACGTTTCTTGTAGTTGGCCACCAGGTTTGCACACATCTCAGGAGCGATTTTGTCCCACTCCTCTTTGCAGATCTTCTCCAAGTCGTTAAGGTTTCGAGGCTGACGTTTGGCAACTCGAACCTTCAGCTCCCTCCACAGATTTTCTATGGGATTAAGGTCTGGAGACTGGCTAGGCCACTCCAGGACCTTAATGTGCTTCTTCTTGAGCCACTCCTTTGTTGCCTTGGCCGTGTATTTTGGGTAATTGTCATGCTAGAATACCCATCCACGACCCATTTTCAATGCCCTGGCTGAGGGAAGGAGGTTCTCACCCAAGATTTGACAGTACATGGCCCCATCCATCGTCCCTTTGATGTGGTGAAGTTGTCCTGTCCCCTTAGCAGAAAAACACCCCCAAAGCATAATGTTTCCACCTCCATGTTTGACGGTGGGGATGAGGTTCTTTGGGTCATAGGCAGCATTCCTCCTCCTCCAAACACGGCGAGTTGAGTTGATGCCAAAGAGCTCGAGCTTGACAGTTCTTTTGTGTTTCTTCCATTTGCGAATAATCGCACCAACTGTTGTCACCTTCTCACCAAGCTGCTTGGCGATGGTCTTGTAGCCCATTCCAGCCTTGTGTAGGTCTATAATCTTGTCCCTGACATCCTTGGAGAGCTCTTTGGTCTTGGCCATGGTGGAGAGTTTGGAAATTGATTGATTGATTGCTTCTGTGGACAGGTGTCTTTTTTACAGGTAACAAGCTGAGATTAGGAGCACTCCCTTTAAGAGTGTGCTCCTAATCTCAGCTCGTTACCTGTATAAAAGACACCCGGGAGCCAGAAATCTTTCTGATTGAGAGGGGGTCAAATACATATTTCCCTCATTAAAATACAAATCAATTTATAACATTTTTGACACGTGTTTTTCTGGATTTTTTTGTTGTTATTCTGTCTCTCACTGTTCACGGGGGGCAGTATGAAAAATGTATGCACTCACTAATTGGAAGTCGCTCTGGATAAGAGCTTCTGCTAAATGACTAAACTGTAAACTGTAAATAAACCTACCATTAAAATTATAGACTGATCATTTCTTTGTCAGTGGGCAAACGTACAAAATCAGCAGGGGATCAAATACTTTTTTCACTCACTGTATTGGAGATGGCAGAACATGGTTGATCAGTTCCTCAGTATGACCAGGATGGACTTTACTGGATTGTTTCAAATCTCAAAATGTGTGGATTTAAAATGAAAATGATTCTGTAATAAAACTCCAAATAGGAGAAGTGTATTTGAACAATATTGTGTATTCTGAACGACCTGACCACCAACATTGATTTCATACTTCATTAGCAGTTATAAACAGATAAAGTTGTATCGCTTCAGGTGTACTTTTTATACTGTATACTCATAGGCTTTTTGTGTTATTTTGCTTCTTTTTGAGTTGGATTTAGAGTGGCAACTAACAAGTCCCAGGTGACAAACAAGAAAGAGAACAAATAGATTTCCCAGCAGGAGACAGTAGGGATTTGTGTTGTCTTTTTTTGTTTCTCTCTCTTTTTTTGTCAAGACAGAACAACCCACTTGGACCCCGATTCTGGCAAGAAGAAGTTTGTGTACCAGTTGCTACAGTTCTTCTGTACTAATCCTGCTTTGTGTAAAAAGAAAGGCAAGACATTACATTTACGTCATTTAGCAGACGCTCTTATCCAGAGCGACTTACAAATCGGGGGGGGGGGGGGGGGGGGGGGGGTAGAAGGATTACTTTTATACTATTCCAGGTATTCCTTAAAGAGGTAGGGTTTCAAGTGTCTCCGGAAGGTGGTCAGTGACTCCGCTGTCCTGGCGTCGTGGGGGAGCGTGGGGGAGCTTGTTCCACCATTGGGGTGCCAGAGCAGCGAATAGCTTTGACTGGGCTGAGCGGACATCAGTGGAGCCAGCAGAAACATATTCTATAGCCCAAGGACTGATTATATTAATATGTTTATATTGTTTAAAATGCAGGTAAGGTTTGCTGAGACACAATGTGAAAGACAGCATTGTACCCATCTTATGCTTATCACTCTTTTTGTATGTCGGATTATGCTGTAGCAATGCACTTAGCCATCCGCTAAACTTGTATTGTCTCAGCCAGGAGAGGTGAGAAAGGCAAATAAACTGTATTTGGGCTATTATATGTCACTCTCTCTGAGGCAAGTATATGATGTGATTTATATTATATGTAAAATGTGTCTGAATCTCTTGCATCTCTCTTTCTCTCTGTCAACATTGAAACAACGTTGAATGCATTATGCAAGGAGTAGATTTTGACATGGTATGGTTTGCTTACGACCCACCCTTCCTCTTTCATGCAGAACTCAATACACATGAAATCAATCAGAAGCAAACTAGAACATATTCATTCAAAAATGTATTTATTCGAAATCCATTTCATTTGAGATAGTGTTTTTGTTTCAATATGCTAAAATGATTTGCAACAAAGTCAGTAGCTGGGTAGGCACAGTCTATTATCAAAGCCAGATTTACTCATAAATAAACCTTGATCAAGCCCAAGTTCACCATAGCTTCAACAACACCAGAGTGACAAAGGATATTAACCGAAATTGACAAAGGTTTTCACCA